ACCTGGAGTTGCACTACGTACATAATGACATTGCTCTTAACTGTTCAACTTTCAAAATATCAATTTTAATCCTGTATCTCCTCCCCACACAAACACATGAACACAACTACAACAACCAACCCATCGATGCACTCCATAAAACAACCCTCCCCCAATCACCAACAACATCCTAACCATTATATAACAAACCCATTAATTACTGTCTTTCTCATTTAACGTCGCTGGTTACATTTTTAACGTGAAGGAAAAGAAACATCCAAAATTTTAGAGGAAAAAAAAATATCCAACTTCTGAAATTGGAAAGATAAATGAAGACAAGACTACTATTAAATAGTTATAACTAAGTATATAATAGACACCAGTGTCGCTGATTCTGCTTTTGAAGAGTGTATCCAAGGATTATACTATTGGGGCATTTTGAATAACCAGGTTTATTATCGTGTTCCTGTCGGATAAATTTTTTATTTGTTAGGTGATTAATAAAAAAAAAAACAAAGTTAAAATATTTTGGTGAAATATAACGAAATATATCTATACTTAATTTGTTTTCTCATTGGATTTTGAGTACTGTTATTGATAGTTATAAGTTGGCATACTTTGTTAGGTTTTTATTGAACTCAAGGGAGATAGCTTTTATACTTATAGAGAAGGAAGTGCCTAGTGGAATTTTTATTTTATTTTCTTTTATTTAAAGAGAGGAAGATAAATCACGAGTATTTATTATAGTTATGTTGATGAGTGCGACTCACGAGAATAAAAGGCCATTGCCACATGGGAATGGGGAGGATAGCTATTTTAACAAGTCTAAAAATTCTGGAGACGAGACCTTTGTCAATGAAAATAAGAAAATTAAATTGGATGAATCTAATTCTATAACTTCAAATGAAGAAAATTCAGATGACAATAAGGATTCAAATGAAGGGTATGTCCAGGTTGAAAATAATGGAACTACCCAAGTTATAAAGACTAGTTTTAGAAAAGATGTTTTGGCTCCTGTAATGCCATCCAAGTCTATTTCCATTGGCAGAGATCCAAAAACAAATAAATACCTATTTCCTGAAATAACAAAAGATGACACTTTAAACGCAAGGATTTTTTTGAAATATTACGGTCTACGAAAATTTCTAGATACTTATTTACCGGAACAATTGAATACTTTGTATTTGTATTATATCATTAAATTATTGGGCTTCGAAATTACCGACAGTGCTTTGGTGGCTGCAATTTATAAAGTTGTCGATGTTGATTCGGATTTAGAGTCTTATAAAAATGATCCGGATAAAGTTCTGGTTTACACATACCCAGAAGATCCTTTGGAGAAGAAACATGCAGTTCGTTTGATCAAAGATCTACAAAGAGCCGTAAATAAAATATTATGCACAAGAATCAAGCTATCAAATTTTTCAGAAACACAAGATTTTGTAGATAAATTAAAAGTCGCTAAAAAAATTTTAGTATTGACGGGTGCAGGTGTTTCAACTTCTCTAGGTATCCCAGATTTCAGATCTTCCGAAGGTTTTTATTCAAAAATCAGGCATTTGGGTTTAGATGACCCTCAAGACGTCTTCAATTATGATATCTTCGTTCAGGATCCTTCTGTTTTTTACAATATCGCACATATGGTGTTACCACCAGAAAATATTTACTCTCCTTTGCATAGTTTTATCAAAATGTTGCAAGATAAAGGTAAATTGTTAAGGAATTATACTCAAAATATTGATAATTTAGAATCATATGCAGGAATAAAGCCTGAAAAATTAGTCCAATGTCATGGTTCGTTTGCCACTGCATCTTGTATTACTTGCCATTGGCAACTACCTGGTGAGAAAATTTTTGAAAACATTAGAAGTTTAGAATTGCCTTTATGTCCATATTGCTATCCAAAGAGAAGGGAATATTTTCCAACTGATGTTTATGAATCTGATAAAGAAACACCAGACGGAGCTTCCCATAATACACAATTAAGTTCGTTAGGCGCGGTACCAAAATCTTACGGTGTTTTAAAACCTGATATTACCTTCTTTGGTGAAGCATTACCATCTAAATTTCATAAGACTATTCGTGAAGACGTTTTAAAATGTGATTTGTTAATTTGTATAGGAACCAGTTTGAAAGTTGCTCCTGTGTCAGAAATTGTAAATATGCTGCCGGCACATGTTCCACAAGTTCTGATCAATAAAGACCCAGTTAAACATGCAGAATTCGATATCTCATATCTAGGTCTCTGTGATGATGTCGTTGCTTACATTACAGAAAAATGTGGATGGGATATTCCTCATGATAAATGGGATACATTGAAAGATACAGAATTTGAATGTATAAAGAAAGATAGAGGTGTTTATACAGTGGACCAGGAGGAAAACCATTAGATACATCATTGCTTTTAACTTAATTAAACAGAAATATTATATATTACTTTAGTTTCACATAAATTATAATGATTAATGCATAGTCCAATTCTTAATTACATTAGAGAAAAATATGGATTCTTTCATAATATATATATTAGATAGATTGATTAACTTTATAATGTCAACTTCTTTTTGTATTGTTTTTATAAAAAATCTTTTATCTTTGTCTATCGCTGACCTTGTCTTAAAGCATTTTTTTTATCAAATTAATCAACTTGAAGCTTTGCATTATAAAAGAAAAATATATACATATATAATGAACAGTACAGAAGAAGATACTAATAATCATTTAAAGGTAAGATAAGTAATACTTTTTGATACAAAGAGCATCAGATTTATTGCCTATCTAAGATTATAGTTGCAGAATGGACTATCAGAATAGAGCTGGTTCCAAAAAGGGTACTGGTGGGATAGCATCTGAACAGTTATCAAATTTGCAAAGAAGGAAACAAGTTGATGAGCTCTTAAGGCAAGGTGAGGAAGTAGGCTACACTTTTGAACAAGATAATGGCGATGAAAATTTGGATGATAAGCTGCAGAAGAATCCATACATATATAAGAACCATTCAGGTAAATTGGTTTGCAAACTTTGTAATACCATGCATATGTCATGGACCAGTGTAGAAAGACATTTAAGTGGTAAGAAACATGGTTTGAATGTACTACGACGTGGTAGTTCTGGGACTAAAGGTAATGAAAATTATAACAATCTAGAACAAGATCGAATAATGCAACAGTTTCAAGCTCAGGTTGAAGAAAGAAGGAATAATTTAAAAAATTCTGGAATTTGTCCAGAATGCAAAGTTTGTAAGATCAAAGATGAGGAAAGTGGTCTTGTAGGACTAGCCGTAGAGGTAAACTATCAAATTAAGAATGATTTATTGGAAATCGAAGAAGATACGATCTATCAACCATTTATACGGATTGTATCTGGGATTGAACTATCCCATGATTCAGAGAAGGACAAAAAATATTTAGTAATTGCATATGAACCTTTTGAAAATACTGGCATTGAGATACCAAATAAAGAGGTGTTAATGGATTCTAAATCAAAAGAAGTTATAACGGTAGAGAATTTTAACGAGAAGTGTTCATATTGGGACAAAGATTCAAAAAAATTGTATGTTCAATTTTTTTTTAAAGAACTATAATTACAACATTAGTTTTACTAATATAAGTGCTATATAATGTATTTATCTCATTATATATCTGTGTGTTATTTAAGTGATAGAAAATAACTCATTTCCTATAAAAATTAATATTATTACATTTCTTGTAGCATGCGTTCCATATATTGATTAATATGCGTTACTAGCAAAGAATATTCTAACTCGATGGCATCAACTTCTTTTTGGAATTCAGCTTGCATATTTGAAATTTCATTTTCTAATTTACCTACTACGCCAGCTATTAAGTCAATTTCTATACGTTCCTCTTGTTGTCGTAGTTTGGGTATTAATTCTTCAGTATACTGCTTTGATAATTCATTAATTCTTTCTTCATTTGCTTGTGATTGGGATTCAGTTGTTGTTTTTAGCTCATTCAGCTTTTCTTTCTGAGTTTGATATTGCTCTTGCAAAAGGGACAATTTATACATGATCCCGGTTGACAAAACTTCTTGCATCTTGTCTCGTCTCATTGACAGCTGTTTCTTGAAATCTAGAATATCAACTTCATTTCTATGAGTTTCTTGTAACTCTGTAGACAGCAATCTTATCACGTCATATAAATCTTCTATTACTTTCTGTAAAGTCTGAACCGATATAATTAAGTTCTGTTGTCTGTTCTCTAGCTCCTTTCTCTGATCCTCTCTTTTTGATAATAACTCTGTCAATTCAACTATAGCTTTAGACAATTCGTTCATATCAGTATTCACATATTTTTCTAACTTTGATTTTTGAGACTCTAATTCGATCTGTTGGAAACCCAAAGTCTCTAATTCAGTTAACATGTTTTGTTTTTCTTTCTTGTAATTATTGTAATCGATTGTTAAAGTTTCTTGGACCTGAGTTAATCTTTTCAATTGACTCTCCAATTTTCTATTCTCTTCTTCTAATTTGTTCAGATCGTTGTTTCCAGAAGTATCATTCAAATCTATATTTTCAAAATCAGTACCCTCTTGATACTGTTTAGCCATCTTATGCAATACATTATAACGATCAAATTTTGACAATAATTGATTCAATAACTGTTCTGATCTTTCAATAATTTCAGTACAATCTTCAATTCTTTCACCACGAAATCTAGCATAATTGACCACTGCACTTAACAATCTTTTAGTCCTTTGGGAATCTGGTTTGTAAAGATCCATAATATTAAAATCATTAACACCGATATTCTGAAAGAACTTGTAACAAATTTTGTTCAACACTAAAACTTGTAAAGTTTCCTTATAAACACCATCATCTCCATCGATATCACTATTATGTTGTTGAAAATTACCACCAAATTGACCCTCCTCACCAACCAAAGAACTGTTAGTCCCAACACTCATCAAATAGTCAGTGGAAAGGCCCATATAGCTTTCAATAATCTGTTTGTACAAAGTAATAACATATTCTGAACTAGGTCTAGTTATTTTATCCTCAGCTGCAAGTGAGAAATCACATTTCTGTAGCATTTCCACTATTTCAGGAACTTCTAAAATTGGGAAAGTATACACACTCATTTCCAAATACAATTAACAATCGAACTCCCACGACGATATTGGAGATAATCGAGTTTACCTTGATTAAGAGACTCCTTGAATAGTATAATGTGCTTTTAAAACCTCTTGATCTTTAAAAAGTTTCGATATCTTTCCTGTTTTTTGATATTTGATGAGATCAATAAAATAACTATCACGAAACCATCGATTCAAAGAAATCGCCGTAGAAACTATTTCAAAAATACACAGACACACGCCAAAAACGTAAAGGATTGATTATTTTTGATAGTAGAGAGAGCTGACAAGAACAAGACTTTAGAGATCAATCATAAGCAGTGAAGTTCGACATATTAAAGAGACTAGGTTGATCATTTTCCTTGCTAGTTAGTACCTTATTTCGAAAACATAGATATCCATCTATGTTTGCAGAACAGATGGACAGTCTCTAAGAGAAGGTTTCGATTTCAAACGTTGTTTATGTATTTCCCTTTTAGGAAAGATCTTTAAATTTAGCCATCGATTTCGAAATTCTTAATCCAAAAGCTGATCTGGATCAAACCTTTAGATCAATTTCGAATTGGATCAAGAGCTTGCCAAGTTGTGAACTTGTTTCGATGGGATTCTTGGTTTAAAATTGGTGTTAGTTTTGGAAAGACGTTTTGACTGTCCAGCCCATTGGAACACTTTACACTCTATTAAAGCAAAGAATATTGGATATATATTTAAGTATACAACGTAACTTATTTTGGAAATAGTAATTATAGGCTAGAGTGACAGTTTAATTGTTTATAGGGGGATACGACATGGGATCTAAGACTTCTTTGAATACCAAGAGGCTTTCTGCAATGTTGGGATCATTTCAAGATCTTGGAGGTACAGATAGTTTGATGGGGTTGCCAGATCCAAGTGGATTGGTATCTGGCAAACCCGAAGATGAGAACAAGTCTGGTTTAAAGGCCCCATCTGCACATTTCAGATCTTCAGAAACAATGTACTCGGTCGGAAATATGTCTGGCTACTCTAATTATTCAGGAGTGATTCAAGAAGGAATTGAAGTTTCATATGTGGTGAATAAACAAGAAACTCCTCGTTTACCTGGATTGCCAGGAACAAAAACTCCTGTTGTAATAACTACAATTCAAACAGATTCTGTTAATACTGAAACAATAAATAATGATAATAATGAAAATAACGAAAACGCAAATGAAAAGGAGGGAAAGGAGGACGAAGAGGGAAAAGACAAAAAACTAATCGAAATTGAGGACCCAAAGTTTGATTATCCAGAAGTCAACAGATCTAATTCAAAGTCATCTGTACGCTCTAATCCTCTACCTGTTAGAAACATCAACGAATCGCCAAAGAGACGATTTAATTCACTAAGGGCTTCTCCTTCTATTAAAACAAAAAATGGATTCACAAAAATAATACAGAATGAAGAGGAGACTGGATTAGGTGATGATCAAGTTACTAGTCAAAATCCTATAATATCTGTAAGTCATCATAACGAGAGTACGCCGACTTTAAATACAAGCCAAGCGGAATTTGATGGTGATTCAATATCAGTGACTTCTAGTTTTGTACAAGAATTACCAACTACTGTTGGGAGAGTAAATTCGGGAAAAGAACCTGTTCGTTCAGAGACTACTGCTTTCAATCCACCAATTCCACCTAGAAATTCTAATAGACCAAGATCAAGAATCTTTATCCCAGAGAAAGTTGATGAAGAAGAGCCTATTAACGAGAATATTTCATCCACCAACCTTACGCCCCCACATGACGATGCATCCAAAAGAATAAGTTCAGTTTCAACAGAGGATATTGATTATGGGAATAGACCATTACCTAACACCCCTCTTCAATCAACCCCAGATATCATCCATGAAACAGATAAACAAATTCAAGTCAATGGCCATATTGAAGAGATAAAACCCAAGAATCATCCACTAGTTGGTAAAGGCATTGGAGATTTTGATATAGATGCACTAATTTCAGTACTACAGATGACAGAAGGAAGTTCTGGATCCGAATTTGAAAACTTAGGTATGAAAGTCGAAGGTAAAAAAGCATTAGAGGGATTAGTAGATTCATTATCAAAATTAGTTGCAGATATGGCACTTGATCCTGAACATCATGAAGAAGGATTGAAAAGGTTGAAAAAGGCAACATTAGAATTAAAGGGGTTTTAAAACCAAAAACAAAAAAGAGATCATCAATAAAATAATGTGTAATAAAATAAACAACAATACCAGGAAAAGTCTGTAATAATTATTTGTTAAATATTTGTAGTTATAAAAGAACAATTTAATTCAAGAATCAAAAGTATCAATAAAAGCTGGCACAGCTATAGATGGGTATATAAGATTAAAAGAAAATTAAATGAGTATCATCAATCACTTTAACTTAATTCTTCATAAATAAAATAAAATAAAAAAGTGTCTTATAACATGTTTATGTTACCTCTTGTTTGAATTTCTGTCGTAATAACCATATAGCTTGACCTTTTGTATTATAATATCCATAGTTAACGAGACCGAAGTTTTTTAAAAGCAGTAATATCTATAATTAAGCATGATGAAATGATAAAAAGTTCAGTAAAAGATATTAAAGAAATTGGTACATAAGGCCAAGCTTATGGGTTCGTGTGGTACTGAGGAAATCTAATTATACTATTATGTTACGAAATACACTTTTTCCAAGCCTACGATGTTCTAAAAGATATCTAAGCAGGTCTTTACCAGCGTCAAATAAAGATAATAATACCTTTCCAAAACCTAACAAAGGTGCTAATAATGGTAATATTGACGATGCCAGTAAGATGTATTCTGTACAAGAGAGCACAATGTTCACTGAAATTTTTGAAGCCATTGAGAAGAAATTTAAAAAAGCAGAGGCTAATGAGCCAGAGATGATTGATAAATTTTCCAAAATGGGTGTAGATATTAAAGACAATGAGGGAAAACCAAATACTGCTAAGTCTTTACAGGTACTATTTGGAGCAAATAGAAGTATTAGCAAGAAAGACAGTAGATTATTAAGTTTTTTCAGAGATACTGCTGGAGAGAATCGTGAATTAAATGAATCCCCAACCTTAACGAATGATGATATCAGAAAATATCCAGTATCATTATTATCTAGTTCATTGAATGTTAGTGAGACAAAGAAAGATTTGAATTCAACAATATCTGGTCTAGGGAAGCTTGAAGTTCCAACAGCGGAAAACATTGGTTATTCAATGAATTTGACTATAAAGGAACAGACATTGAAGAATCTAGAGAATAAACAAAAATTAAGGATTGCTTTAGATGATGCATTATCCCCACATATCGAAATTATGAAACAATTGATCAGGACCGATTATGATGCTTTGGAATATGTAAAGAATAAAATAATAAGTTTCCCATCAAAGAGAGAAAATTATCATATGAACAAGGATATAGGTCTATCAGAAACAATTGAAGAGATCAAAGAAAATTGCTCCATAAGACCTAATGAACTTCCATCTCCAGGAGAAATAACATTACCTCATGTTATTGTAACGCTTCTTGCTTCACCAGATTTTGTATTCTCAATGGATAGAAAATACAATTTAATATCCTACATTTATAACGAATGTAAAAAATCAACAAACATGGAGCTATATCTAAGTGTATGCAACGTTGATTTTTACAATATTTTATTGCAACTTTCATGGGATAATTTTAAAGAAATTAATTTATTAAAACAGATTATTACTGAAATGAGTATCAATGGTATAATTGGCGATATCCAGACAATAGAAGTTCTTGACAATATAGTAGATGATTTAAGATATCTGAATGACCACATGTTGGATTATGAATTAAAGGACCCAACCATTCAAAAGGATAAACTTTCAGTCAATTTACTGTGGTGTCGTGAAAATAGCATGAGTTTTTCTACTGTAGAGAATTACTTACAAAAATTAAAAGAAAGTTTAACCTGACTTAAAGATCATTATAGACCTGTAAATAATATATAAAAATAAATATAAGAGAATAATTCAAAGTGTCAGTTATTAGTCGAGTTTCCAACGTTCCTCTCTTATACACTATTCTTGAATTTGAACGATGGAGGCTAATTTTGATGGCGCTATCAAAGTTGTAGATAACCTGGCCAATTGTAAAGTTAATATAAGAATTCGAATAATCTCGAAATGGATTAATAAGACAGGAACTGGGAATTGATGGTTGATAAGGATGATCTTGAAGAACAATTGGGTTAATAAAGGCCACTCATTCTTATAATATCTATTCCATAACTTTATTTAAGGTTTGAGAGATCAATTGCAAAGAATACGTTGAGAGAGGCACATTTTAGGAAGGGACTAATTAGAGATGAATCTGGAAGAAATTGCAAGATTATGCCATGATATAACTCAATCATATTTGGATATTTCAGAAGGAGTATCGCCAATTATAGTGGAAACTCAAGAAGCTATTAAATTGAGCAGAAAACATATCATGGAGGAAATTTTCAATCGATGGTGTCCAATAAGTGGTGAAATTTCCTTCTCTTATAATGGTGGGAAAGACTGTCAGGTATTACTATTGATATATTTAGGATGTTTATGGAAATACTACCTTGATAATAAGGACAAATTTAATTGGGATAAGTTCCCATTGGAGAGGTTACCTACAGTTTTCATTGCCTCAGAAGAGACATTTACTTCATTAGAATTATTTATTAATTCTAGCGTAGAAAGATATAATCTAAATCTTTATAAATCACAATTGGACAAGACAAGAAAAATTAGCATGGCAGAGGCATTTGATATATTCTTGAAAGAATATCCTATTACTAAGAGTATTTTAATTGGTGTTAGGCGCACAGATCCATTTGGAGAACATTTATCACCAATTCAAAAGACTGATTTGAATTGGCCAAGCTTTGTACGCCTACAGCCATTACTGCATTGGAAACTAGCTCATATATGGAGTTTCCTACTTTATTCAAATGAACCTATATGTGGATTATATAGTGTTGGGTTCACATCAATCGGTAGCATCTCACAGACTACACCAAATCCATCATTGAAGAAACTCACAAACTCCGAAGATAGCAAGTTATCGTTATCATTCGATTGGGAAATAAATAACTCCTATCCAAATTCCATGGTGAAGAAAAGTGAAGTCAACATATCGAAATTAACCGATGAAGATATCACTCTTCTATCAACATTTGGAGAGTTTCACCCAGGTTGGTATCTAATCGATGATAAATTAGAGAGATCGGGACGTATCAAAAAGTAATAATGATAGTTATGAATTTATTAATATAAAATATTTAGAATTTTATACATATTTACATACACTCTTTGTAAGTAATATTGTTCTTCTTATTATAGTTATATACAGGGTCAATAAGCATGAAACCATACATGCACAGGGAAATGGAAATGGATGTGAAGGGTGCTGCCACTAATCATGGTGTTTACCACCAACTCTATCATATAATCTTGCTGCATGATAATTTATGTTACTTTTTTGTTCTTTATGAGTATTACCTAATGCATTTTTAGCAGTACAAGTCTTCAATTCATTCGCTAAATTCTCACAAACTGGGTTCATGTGACCATTGGAAGACCAACATTGAAGTAAATTGGACATCAACACCAGACATCTATTGGTTTCTTGTCTAATAACAGGTTTCTTAACCTTTAGTCTTGGTAAAGGTGGTAATCTATACACAGGAGGTTTTCCAGACATGGTATTTCTTATATATTTCGCTTACAGATTTGAAACCAAATTAGAAAGCCAAAGTGATTAGTTCTCTTATTTCAAAATACAACCTCTACTAATACAAATATAACAATTTGAAATACCTATTCTATCAAAAAATAATCATTGTTAATTGAAACTTATTCATGTTAAACTTGTTCATCTTTAATCTTATTCGATTTCGAAGATTGGATTTGAAATTTTACTGTGAAATTGATATTCATCACGTGATTTACGTATATAATTAAAAGTGATATAGAAGTTAATATTAATAAACTAATAAACTTATAACTAAGGTTGACAGATAGATCATACAGTGCCAATGATCTCAACTATTTATATTTATCTAATTCTGGCATACTTAGAATGACCTTTTCTTTGTTTTCACTAAATTCTTGTAGTTTCTTCAATATTTTAGAATCCTTCCATTTATCTGGCAATGGAGTCGTATCATAGTTTTTGGTTGCCCAATAATAGATATCCCAATCTAGTTCATTCAATAAGTTATCATATTCATCTAGTTCTTCAGGTGTCATTTCTTTTAAGTATTTAGCTGCAAACCCTGATAATAACAGATCAGTTTCCAAGATACCTCTCTTTCTAGATTGATAAATCAATCTAGCTCTTTTCTTGTCTAATGGTTCATTGACTCTCTTAATTGGAGCCACTTTAATTCTCAGTATCACATCATCAACCTCTGAATCATTTTGTTTGCCATTATTCAAGATAGTTCTACCAGTAGAAAAAGTTGCCTTGTGAGAATTGACAATATTCTTAGTGAACAAACCGAATCTAGCAAGAGGAGCCTGTGATTTCAACCCAATTGATCTAGCAAACATAATGACCTTAGCAATATAACAGTAATCACTCCCCCTTAGATTCAATACTAAACTTGTACTCTTTATAATCCTATCCAGTGACAACTTTAAAGTAGTCATCGTACTTGATTGAGGGTTCCACCTTCTCTTTTTTTATAGTCTCAAGTTAAGACGAAACCTGGAATTTAATAGGTGGAAACCTCAGTAGAAAGAGAAACAGTTATGAGCGAAAAGTCATCATCAAGGTTATTAAATACATTGTCTATATCCCAATGATACTTAAATCATTGCAGTTTTTTCTTACAAAATTTATATTATATACATACTTTTGTTTTATATGCTATTCCATTCCATAGATCATAGTTCATCTAGATGATATTGACGCTATTTGGTCTCTGATCCAACGCAGTCAGCTTGAGAGGATGTTACAATTAGTTTCAGTCACGCACGAATTGCCTTTCATTATTGGCAATAACCTCTACGTTTGTAGCTGATAGTCTCCAAAGAATGAACATAAATACTGTTCTATAGGGAGCAAACCTATCTCCACAGCTTATCACCAAATCATCGTCATAAACTTTCCAATTTGAATTCTTTTTGTGTTTACTTTTAATGACTTCTGTTCTCTTTGCAGTCAATTCTTTCAATAGTTCAGGGTTCTCTGAAAAATATCTTGAACAACCTCTAGCGGCTCCTAAATCTTCAGATGCAAATACATCGTATCTTTTCAAACCGGTGATTAAAAACATTTTGGCACTCCAAACACCTACTCCTTTAATATTTTCGACTAAATGATCAATAACCTCCTGATCGTTACCAGTCTCTTTAAACATTTTGTCGATCTCATCTTCTTTCTCTACAAAATAGTTTACTAATGATTCTAGGTATGTTACCTTTCTTGCACTCACACCACATCCACGTACCTCCTGTTTCCTTTTATCATTTTTGAAGGCCTCTTTCAATTGTTGGTATGTTGGGAAAGTACCATCAAATAAATCTATTACTCTACCCTTGATAGAATTGCCTGCTTTACCACTAATTTGTTGAGCAATGATAGCACAGGAAAGCTTGGTGAATGCAGATTTTAAAGTTATTTCGAAAGGTGCAGCTTCCCTTAAGAATAGTTCAAAATTTGTTGCAGTAATTATATCGATAAAAGATGGTTCTTTGGATAAAATGAAGTCACAAGCTTTGATGAACTCATCTGAATGTGCTGCAACAAACTCATCAGGTAATTGAGCTCTTTCTTTATCTTCCTTTTCAACTTCTTCTCTAGTTCTCTTCATTAGTAATATTCTGTTTGACCTTCAAAAAATATTGTATGAATCTGATTTTAATCTAAGAAATTACAATATAACGATTACTGGTGATACTTAGTATTGGAATATGTGCAGTTTTAAAAGTCTTGACCCTGTACTTAACACCTTATACCTTTCTAATTATATTAGTCAAGCAGATAACCTTCCTCTCATTGACTAAATTTTAAACCAAAAATGTATAAAAAAACGAAGGTAATACGGCTGAGAACCTAAACGGGGGTGGATCTGTAATTGCTCAACGTAGACAATAGGAACCTATATTTGTTTTCAATAAATATCTCTCGAAATCAGTCCTGTTCGATGGCCATTTATCAAATAAAGGAGAACATATTGGTAATTCAGACCTCGAAGTTAATTAATTCACTTTTTAGCTTTACTCTCTAATGCAACTTTAAAGATGGGTGAGAAAAAAAAAACACATTGAACTGGCAATCAAGACCGGGAAAGAACACGTAATATCTTATCAATTCTGACCCCCAAATTCCAGCTAAAAATCCAATATCATTAAACATATATTGCAAACTGAATTCTCAATTACCTTTATGTTACGTCAACTTGATATTCATAAAATCCTCATTTCATAAGCAAATCTCTTTGCGAAACCGTCAAGTTTCAAAACTCTTATTCAATAATCAATAAAACCCATACTCTCTGAGACACTAAGTGGCTTCGATCAAAGACTAATCGATGTTTTTATCCTAACCATCTGTTCATCAAGTTTTAATGGCACTTATATAAATTTATCAATATTTTAATACATCACGGAATCTTAATTTCGAATTGATATTAAAAGAGTTTACCACTTTAAGCATTGATTGGTAATGATCTTTTAAGAGGTTTGAAAGGATGTGGCATACTAAATTACTTGGGAATTGACTATCAAAGTCGTTTACTTGTGGATTCTGGTGAATTTGTTGGGTATAAGTTGAGATGGAATTCGTTTATGATGAAACAGCAGCAAATGCTGCATCTGGTGAAGATATCAATGAACATAAAGTTCAACAGGATGAAAAAACTGAACAAATGTTCAATAAGCTTGAGCAAGAGGTGAATAAACAGTATGAGAAGACTACTGAGACTTTGCAAAAGTATATTCAGGAAGATGAAGAAGGTATTCATATAAATATTCCTATTGAAGGTGCTGTTGCAGAAAAGGCACAAGAATATTTGCAAAGTTTAGATGCTAATTTACAAAATGTAGAGACTGCTGCTCAAGGATACTGGAATAAAGTTTCTAACACCGGGTTTTGGTCTTCTGTATCTGATACTTTGAGTTCAAAATTGGATCAAGTCGTTCAATTGGGTACAGAAGCTGTTAATTCAGGCTTATCACCAGAAGAAACAATAAAGGACAGTGGCACTCCAGTAGCTGTAGCAGGGAATAGAACAGAAGCTGAACTAAGAGAATTGGTTACTAATGAGAAGATATATACAGAGAATAAGTTATCTTTGGATGAAAATTTCGATGTCGATTCTAAGACTGATGAAATTTCAAAGATATTAGAGGGAAACGTTGAATTGTCAAACTTAATGAATACTCTAGTACCACAATCAGTTCCATATAAAGATTTTTGGAATATTTATTTTGCTCAAAAGACCAAGATTTTGGAAATGGAAGACAAGAGAAAGAAAATTCTTGAAAGCAAATCTACTGAAAAGGAAATGAGCGGTTGGGATGACGATGAAGATGAAGAAGAACAGCCAGTTATTGTTCAAAAAGAAGAAGTAATGGAACTTGAAACTAAAGCAGAAGAAACAAAAAATAAGAAAGCTGCTAAGAACAAAAATAAGCAAACCAATAAGGAAAAAAAGAAGGATAAGAAATCTAACAAGAAACAAGAAAAGTCTGTAAAAGAAGAGGAACCAAAGGTAGAGGAACCAAAGGTAGAGGAACCAAAAGTAGAGGAACCAAAAGTAGAGGAAAAACCTATTGAAAAAGTAGCTGCTTCTGTTGAAGAAGAAGAAGATGATGATGATGACGATTGGGAATAGAATGATTAAATATGAGATGATGTTGACAAATTTATTTTAAGCTTTTCTTATTCCAATTGATGTTGCTTCATTAGGACGATGATTGTGACAGCTACAATGCTTTGTTCTCTTAGAATTTTATTTTCTTATTGAATTCGTAAATTCCTGTTTATCATATTTGATTTTTATATATGCCTCTATATAAAATATTTAATTATCAGTGCTTAAACACCATAAACTCTATGGTAAAATAACACATATGCATTTGGAGTGATACATTCCGTCTCGTTTTTAATTGGGCGATAGCTAGTATCATCAAAATAGTGCCATCCTCTATTAATTCCTTTATTTACATATGCAGTATAATGGCCACCATATAAGCTTCCGACATGAGATGCTACTGCATTTAATTTATATCTAAAAGGAGGTACTTGACCTCTTGTTGGTAATTCATCGGTGACGCCAGGTGGTAGTCTGCCATCAAAGTCATTTGCCCAGTAAGGAGTAAGATCCAAAAGAAATGGATACTTAACAAAAACATTGTTCTTGTTCATCATGTTATCAAATCTCTTCAAATGGATAATCAAATTTCTTGGCAATCTTGTAATTGTTAATTTTTTGGTAGATGGTTGTTTCTTCTTACAAGTTGGGCACGACCAAAGTTCATCAGTTCCTAATTTCTCGACCTTTGTAAACTCATTAAAGCAATCAAGTATATGACATGATGACACATGAGGCACTGGAACCGAAAGAACGGAAAAGGTTTGATATGTAGTCGAAGTGCAACCACAAACTTTACATTTAAGTTGTGAAGCATATTGTCCTTGGAATAAATCTACGATAACGCTGAAGTCGGTGGTTAAAAATCTTTCCCATTCAATTGAAGACGCTATTCTCATTGACAATTTTTCTCTCATCTTTTCAGCATCCTCAGATAATTCTTTTAATGGCGGGTTTGCCCCACATTGATTTAAGTCTTCATGTAAACCATCTAATAAGAATTGACAAAATTCCTGACTATCTTGCTGGGTGTTGTCTTTAAATAATGAATTTATTGACCCGCATGCCATTTTGAATTGAATAGGTTGGATGGGTTTGTTCTTTTCCAAAGGTCTCTTAAATGAACCTTCTCTATACATTGTGTGAACAAGTCTAGCAAAGTATTTTGCCAAGACACCTTTAGAACCTAATTTGCTGTTCAAATTGATGTGCTTTTCGTATGAATTGTTTAAAAAGATCTGAGATAGCTCATGAGTGCTTAGTAAACATTGGATAATACAATTCATATAACAGGAATTTCCCATATTCTCTAAACCAACAGTAAAATCCAGATCTAACTTTGGTTGATTGAGATTTTGGTAAGTGCCCGTCATATGATGCGGGAGCTGAGGTAATGCTGGAACAGGTTGGCCTGGAGGTTTTGAATCTGGGTGTGGTTTCAAATCTAACATAGCACCATTACCAATTGTAGTCCTGCTTATTTTCATTGGTAACTGTGGCGATTGCGTTAACATATTTTTGGTCATTGGTGACATTGCTCTTGAACTAATTGGAGATATCTGAGACAATGGCATTGTATTGGTATTTATTTGAGTTAATAACTTAGGGGTCTCTGGATATTGAGTAAAATTTTGCTCTAATGGGGGCATCGACGATGTTTGAGGTCTGACTAATTGAGAGGGCGCAGGAGAGGATGAAGTTACTGATGAAGTAGAAGAAGATTTTGCCTTGTTAAACAAATTTTTAAAACTAGGTGTTCTTGCAAAGACCGGTTGCTGTTGTTGTGGCAATTGATAAGTTCTTCCTTCGAAATCTGCAGAAGTAGACATCATATCTCTCATCGACTTATCCATTGAGGAACCAATATTTGGCGATAGCTGTGGAAGATTTTGTAGATTCAAGCTTGAAGTATTCCCACTGATGTAAATTGCATCACCATTTTGTGTGGTAGTTTCGCAAGCACCTTTCTTTGAGACCCAGCCTGAAAATCCCTTATCCAATGTGAATACTTTTATATTTTTTTCGTTTAATGGTTTTGCAAAAGATTTGTTCATGAGAATATCCAGTAATACTAGTTGCTGATGCATATAAAATTGTGTCTTTTCACTTTGCTGTGTATAAATGACAATATAATTATATTTATCCCTTGCTTGGAACAATGCAATTTCCTTTTGTGGGGAAGTAATTAACGATTTCTTTTCGACCTCTAAATCAGTGAATGAATTTTTAAAAGAAACGGGTTCTACACAGATCACAGATTTGGCCTTTATATGTTTACTATCGAATTCTGCTCGTGGTCTGACATCTATCAACAACAAGGAACTGTCGTACATTTGAATCAAATGATTTAATTGCACAGCTGATATAGGGGAACCCGATAGAGGTAGCATGAACACTTCGTTATTCAACAACTGTTTATTAACTATACTCTCCTTACCTTTGCTATTTTTATCTGGGTAATTTGCCCTTAAATACGATTTGATCTGAGCAATCTTCTCATCGCTCAACAACGTTTTCACAAGCATATTATATATTTGCATCAATTCTTTATCCTCATTTGTCGCATCTGAACTTTTCGCAGAGGAGAATTGTGGCAAGCTTGGTATCCTCGTCAATACCATTATATGTATTATTTTGTAATAAATGTATGCAGATTCGTAAATGGAGTAACGTTCACTCGGCGATAGAGTAGGTTCATTTCTCTTCAATTTCTTACATTCATCTTGATAATTAGCAAGAGTATCAATACACTCTTGTAATGAAACTTTCATATTAGAAGAAGTAGCATCTTGCATTACAAATTTGTCAGCTATACCAGATAACCTAACGATAGGGTCATAAAGCAACTGTTTTCTAGAATCTACCTCAACCATCTGTGATAAGTACGAAGAACAGAAATTGGAAACACCCTTTTCAATATATACAACTTAAGAACCAAAATTAAAATAAAATAAAATAGAATAGAATTATATCACAGAGTAAACCAAACAAAAAAAAACAAATATAATATGCAAACGTAAGTAATTAAAATTACCAGTTTAACCAAAACCGAAGTCTTCTAACCTTATAGTACCTTATTACCTCCAGATCAAATACAAATCTTAGACTTGGTAGACAGCTCTATATTATTATATAGCTATAATTTGTAAGTTTTTAAACCTTTCTTAAATTAAAGGCTTCTTTATCTTTTTTGAGATCGAAACGGTATGTCACGTGATTTGGTGTGTGTTGGTTATTACAAATAAATGGATCTTAACTATGGGATGAGATAGAACGATGATGAATCAAGACCTCATAGTTGAAGATTCTTTTGACAAGAAGTATTAGGACATTGTGTTGTTAATTGTTTTATATTATTGCGTTGTTATATATCTTTAATAATATAAAGTGGTCAGAGAGAACTAGAGGTCAGTCTCATAATCTATACATTATTCTGTCACTACACCAGCTTTACATAATATAACGTATATGTAAATATATATGGCAACAGAAAAGATCTGACTTTGAAGAAAGAAAACGTTTGGATGCTTCTTATAGTAGGAGAGGTTTATACGTTATATAAAATATTTTTTTTTTAAAATTTAGTTTTTTCCAGTTTTTATAATAGACAACAAATTTAGTATCATAAATTAATACAGAGGGTTGAGTAAAAGGTAAAGATGGAGCGATTGATGGCAGGAAGGAAGGGGGGTAGACAAATCGAGTTTTCTATTAATTGTCGTATTCCTCCTTTACAAGCTCTTTGACCATATCAATCCACTTGGTGGATGCGAATTGAGTGTCTTTTTGAACATCTTTGTTTTCACCTTGTTGTTGGAAACCTACTCTTTCATAAAATGGCACCAATGCTTCATGAGCAATAATAGAGATTCTAATACCTATTTCCTGGTTGCTCAATTTTTGAATGTAATCGGTCAATAATAAAGTGGCCAAGTTTTTCTTTTGAAATTCTGGATCAATAACTAAAGAATGGATCCCAATGGTATCACTAGATTCGGAATGGACTTCCCCCATACTTTCTAAAGTGATCAAAGTGACACCATTAGCTGACTTGGGTATTTTAGTGGCCATGATATGACCAATTAAAGTTTCAGACTTCAATTCCTTACCTTCGAATTCTCTAATGAATAAACCGGAACATAATTCAGGACAAGCAGTCAAACGAAACTTGATCTTCTCTAAAGAAGCTCTTTCGTGCTCTGGGAAACCCTTGGCTTCCAATTCACACGATTGTTCAGCATCCTCGATTATCAAAGGTCTGATATACATGTGTAATGGCAAAGTAGAAGTCATTTTCTTTCTTTCTTTTAAATTCTTTAAATTCTTTTCAGTTAATACTGTTAATTGGTTTTAATTCAACTTCAAAAAAAATAAGAATTGAACACACAAACAATCAAAAACTATTTCCAATTTCAGATTCACTCTTGAATAACCAATCGATGCAAAATCAAATATCTTGCTTTTGCTTTTGCTTTTGCTTTTGCTTTTGTTTTTTACTTTTACTTTTACTTCTGAATCTATGACTAAACGCCAAAATTTGATTACTAAAGCTTTTCAATTCAAATCAGAACTCAGAAATTCCAAACAGATTTGTTCAAATAAGTTCCTGCCAAATGTTTTGAATTACAAAAAGACCTAGATCTATCCTAACTGACTACAATTCCTATCTTTTAAACAACCATCAACACATATTTGTTAACCTTTTTATGTGAGTGAAACTTTTTTTTTTCTTTCCTTCTTTGTTCGACCAGTTCGGTTGGAAAATTGTTATGCGTAGTTAAGAAACTTAAGAGGGTAATAGGTATAAACGTTTCATTATGTAAGGAAGGCTATTAATGACAGTGGTGGGACATGAGTTATAATACAAGACAGTTTGGATTGGATAATGATGAAGTTGACGATTCTAAAGTGTGACTTTTATGTAATGTTGAAGTTTTTTTTGAGATTTATTGCCAAGTTTTTTGATCTTTTATCGGTGAAGATACGTAATATTTTTTAATTTTAAGATTAATCGCTGTCTGTGGGGAGAGTTGGGAACATTCGATGGTAGAGATTGTAATCCTCAACTCTTGATGGTTTTATTTTTCTCTGGTGGATATATTCCCCCATTGTAAAGTTGAACCGGTTCTCATATCTCTTATTCTTATGAAATCTTACTAAGAAGCAGTCTATTTGAAATTAACAGCACTAAAGCTGAAAACTTTCGGATTAACTTCAACTCCAGTATGTTTAAACCGGTTATATTGTCATACGTAGATAAAAACTAATATGTAGGTTATGTAGATGGCTCAGGTGTGTCAGTGTCTCCTCCGACTCGTAAAGCATCTCCATTATTGATGATCTCAAAAACAGCGCAGTGATTGTCACGTGATGCCAATAATTACATTGTATATATGAATTTTGCACCTAAATTTGAGTAACTCCTACGATGAGATGAACCAACATAAACTTCATACCGATGGTTGATTCATATATTGCTTAGAATTAAATACTTAAGACTACATAAATTTGAATGAATGTACTATTTAAATCAAACTACCCATTCGTCAAGATGCTAAATGTATCATATTAAAAAAAAAAAGAGTTTATATGTATTGCAACACTTACAAAGTATAAAATTATCATAAAAGTAAAAATAGTAAAAGGATCGACTAACTCAAGATGATTGACCATTCTTTTTTCAGTTCATAACCTTAGTCATGATCTTTATTTTTCTTCCCATTTAATTATAGTCAGTTATCAATGTAGCCATCCGGTACAAAAACCTAGCGTATTTAGCATAACTACTACCAACCAGTATCACCTTAAACACCATTTTCTTGATTGTTGCAACTATATGGGGCTTGTAAAGAATCACAACCTGAGTCAACACCCCATTAATATTGACCACCATTTGAATCAAGACCCCAAACACCTGAATTAGGACCGTAGAAAATATCTGCGTGCCAGGTACCATGGTGATTAACATGAATCCAATAGTCATTACATAACCAATCACCATCGGTGGAACGAATAGCTGCTTGAACAGCACCTGCTACTGTTTTTTGATCAATGGTACCAGAACATTGACCTGGAACTGGGCAAACTTTCCAGAAGAAGCCACCAGTATTACCTTGTCTACAAGAGCAATCATTGGAAGCAGCTAGTTCATGGGTGGCATAACCTAAGTTTCATACACCGTTTGCAACATCCCAATACTCATAAACACAATTATCACCACCTTGCTTCCAATACAAGTCACCAACCAAGTTGGTACGTTTGGTGATACCCATTCTAGTATCAACAACTAGATCTTGGTCAATAACCGCGAATTTGGTCAATGATCCATCGATACCATCGATCAAAGCACTCATATTGGTAAATTTGCTACCATCAAAGGAAAAGATTGCTGCTGGATAGACAGTACCATTTTTGTCTTTATAAACAGTACCGTTATCCAATGCCATAGCAGACGTTGCTAATAAGGTTAATGAGCAGATTGAAGTGATAGAAAACATTTAAAAGTTGATAGTTTTCTTTCTCTTAGAGATGTTATTTTGGTTTTTTCCCTAAATTCAAAACTATGGAAAAACTAATATAATCAATCTTGGATCATAAAATCTTAAAATCTTAAAATCTTAAAATCTTAAAATCATCAAGCTATTTATATGGTTCAAAATTTCTTAGTTCATTAAGAAACTAAGAAAGTTATATTCCCTGTTTCATTGGAATCGTATAAGTTATTTCTTATTTGTATGATGGTCGGATTCGATACGAATGGTAACCAATTGTTGTCAGTTATTCTAATGACCATTGAAGCTGAAAGGTTGTTTAAATTTGAATTCGACCAATTAAATATTTTTTAATTATCCATAAATATCTTTTAACCATGTAAAACTTCATTCATTGTTTCTTTTTATTATTATTATTATTACTTGGTATGGAATGCCATAATGCCTATCGAAATAATAGGGGAACCTAATAATTAAATAGCCTAAACGAAATTAAATATTTCACAAAGTAATGAACTATTTAATACCCAGAATGGATGCCTTCTAGCAAATAAATTCAATTTGTATTAAAAAGGGTTTCCGCTGGCTGTCTAATTTTGAATTCTGTTTATTCATTGCCGATATATACTTTGGATATTAATATCATATGAAAGCAGTGAGGCATATATTCCTCCATAAACTATTTTTATTTCTATAATTTTAAGGCAACATAACCAGTAATTATAAGAACCTCTCTTCTTCTAACAAATAGATAGAATAATGTTGTAAATTCAAAACAATCAAAATTGAATAAATCCTAAAAGATCTCGACTCTTTCCGAATGGTATTGAGACAAATTCGTCACATCGACTTGCATACATTAAGTTTCCAATTCATTAATAATTGTTTTCACTTTAGGAAGAATCGACATTTTTCTTCTGCTCTTCAAATAAATTGCTTAGTGTAGAAACTTCTCAATATGTACCAGGTGATGATTAGTCTAACTAATTCATAATAGTTCAATCATAATCTTGATATTAGAAGAACTTTGAAATAATTTAATAACCGCTTCTCGTTTCCCCCATTTGATATGATTAGAAATTCTTTCGAACTTAAACGGCATAATTCATTTAATATCAATTTCTTGTAAACTCATAGTCATACGCTATTCAATGTTGAGGGGTTGAGATTTAAAATATCACAAAATAGCGAGAAGATAAACTCCAGGAATGGGAGAATATACATAATAACGGTATTAAGTCAACCTTATTATCACAAAACCTCTTTCCTTCAAAGACTCCGCATCATCCCAAATTTACTAATGCTAATTGTCATAACCAATTCTATAGAGAACTTCGTGTAAAACCTGATATTTGTTCACTTAAAATCTACATTCAAACTATTGACAAATCAAACTCTTCTTGTTCAGTACGTAATTGACTTTATGATTATTTTTCTACTGTACTTGAAGATATATTTCTCTTTTTGGAAGAATCAAAAGTGGATCACATAGTTGGTTACCTGTACGATTATCAGACTATCAGTACTGGTAACTTTGACCTATTAATTTCTATAAGATCTTGACGCACTGGATAGCGGCAAGTTTGTTTCCCGATGTGTTAAGATCTCTATCCAAAAATGAATTGGTATTATTTCCCTGGTAAAGTTCGTAAAGATATACATTTTTTTAGGTTGGTCTGTACCTCCAAGACTTAAAATATGAAACAGTTTTAATGAAACGCTGTACTAATAGAAGCTTGCGAAAATTTAACAATACCCTGCCAATAAGGTTAACTTGAATTGGTTCTTACTTTTCAAAAATGACGAACAAATAAGGACAGAGGATAATTATGTAGAGAAGGAGCCAGTAGTTTGAATGCAGCAATTCGAACTATTTTTCTCCTGGTAACAAATACCATGGATTTTGCTATATGATTCTCAGTATAAAAATGGATACCCTGTGTTTCAAAATAAAAAAATGATTTGTTGCCGACAACTTTGAGGTTCGTTAAACAAAAGTTTGAGTCGTGTATATTTCTTGATGCAGTTTACTGGACTTTGAAAAATAAACATTCTTAATCAATACAGTACAATTCAAAATCTGATAATATTTGGATGAAATCAACGATTTAAATTAATTTAGACACACTTGGCAAATTTCACGGGAACGAAGTTTAATATAGCATGGCTAACTATTTAATTAAGAAAAAAAATTGTCTAATTAACATCTTAATTTCATTTCTTTGAATCAGTTTCAAAATAATTTTTCATGGTTTCATTATTATTCTTTTTGTCGATTATCTTTTAAAAAGATGGATTTTTGGAACAATTTCAAAGGGTTATCCTTAAATCATATCTCCTTTATCTCTCATATTTATCGATATTTCTAAAAATATATTAATCAAAAGGTGTCCCATCAAAAAACAGATACAAATGGATTTCTAATAACATTGATTTGGAAAATTGAACTAAAACAATTTTGGTTGTGTATCAGGTAATAGATTCAAAATATTGTAATCAGATCTCATAACCGGATTTGTGTCTATCAAAGTCGAAAAAAAATATTAATCTATGAAATGTGTATTCACTTCACTCTTAATAGTTTAAGATATGAATCACTTGGTAAAATCTTCTTGAAATTTCTTCCCATCAAGATGTTACCAATCCATATCACAGTAGTTTACTAAATGAAAAGTTTAAACACTATGATTCATGTATTTTTAGTTCCTCAAAATACCCATTTAAATGGATTACCAGTACACGTGACTAAATATGTGACCTTCTAATTAATATGACACTACTATCCTTTAGCTTGGAGAGACTCTATAATAGCAATTAATACTCCTACAATGAAATTTCCATTCAAATCAATGGTGGATTAGTTTTTATAAGGTCTACCATACAGGTTAGCACCAGTTAATAAAAATCACCTGATATACCATCTGAGATAATAAGGTAACTTCAGTTATTCAATTTGGTATATAGGCACCTAAGCTTGAAGGACGATATAGAACATATCATTATTGCTTAAAAGAATTTGATTCCTTGTTCTCATTTAATTTCAAAAATCTTAGAGAGACTGAACTTGTCTAGGCCTTTTCTCTATTGATCTGGTTTCTACATTTGCCTGTATTCAGATAGGGTCCCATTTATATATCAGTGAACAAATTTACTGGTTTAGTGACAATTGCATTGAAGTACCTAGTTCCTATTTCTATATGATTTCTCCGTTAGTATAGCACTTCTAATTTTTACATTTCTATTGGATTAATAACTATTCCGGTTTTCTTTTTTGCTTTAGTTTATAATAATCTAGTACCATAAAACAGTTATGCTGACAGTTTGCCAATTGCACATACGGTGTACTATGGTTACGTAAAATGGCTACACATCTGGTTTTGTTTCACTATTATACTTTCCGGAATATGACCAACTAATCTTCTGACATTTTGATTCATCTGGTCCGCGGAGAGGATTTTCTATTGGCACCACTCCACGGAAAACTGAATAATCAGGTAGAACCATTCACAATTGTAGTGTAGATAAATGAATATATAGATTGTCAATAAGTCTAACTTTTATATATATCAGAGAATATATAGATCTGTTCCACCATAAATACCAGTTGTAACTAATCTCCTTTACCTGTCAGGAATTGAATTAGATTTAGTAGAGAAAAGATATATATATATTTTGCACCGGTTTTATACTATATCACTTTCTTAAATATATATTTTGATATGTAGACCAAAATTATTCTATAAGATCTCTAAGGTACCTTCATATGTGTGAAATAAGTGAAATTGATACCTATAGCTCTATAATACTAAATCATATAGAGAATAAATCTACTTCATCTTCTTGAACAAGCTGATCTTCTTTTATACAATTTATTTCATGCAAATTCCAACGACACAGTATCAATTTATCGTCAGCTTTAATTCGACTTAAGTAATGTGATCTTATACATGGAATCAATAAGTTATTTTAGTTTTGTTTCTCGTAGTTTTAAGGTGACATTACATAACTATATTCTTTGTAGGGCAATAAGTGAGTTCCATTCTAATGGATATTTGGTTGGAGTACGTCAAAATACTTCTGGTATTACTTTTATTCTATTATTCTATATTGTGGAGAGTAGTACGTTTTAGTAGATATATATATCATAAAGGAAATTTTGTATTTTTAATTCTGATAATGCACAAGATAAATAAAGAGTATTCAGTAATATATAGTAATCTCAACCGATAGTTACTATTCATATTTGCTAATGTCAACGATAAAAACACTTATTATTGGGAGTGTTCATAATTAGGTAATTTGTGTTGAAACAATACGAACAACTCTTAGGCATGGAACGTAAGATCAGGAATTATACCCTTTTAACACAACACATCTTTGTTCTGACTATTCACTCGCCTTGAATAGAGGGTAATCATTCAAATATATTATTGAGTAAAGAAGTACAGTTTTTCTGAGATATTTGAAAAGACTAACTCAACCTATCAAAAGAAAACGACTATAATCCGAATTCATCGAACAAACTATATAATTCAAAAAGTATATAAACAGATTGGGGAAAGGGTACTCTAAAGTTACTCAATTCCAATTCTTTTAATCTAATTTTCTAAATATTATTCCAAGATAAAACATTTAACCTTTTATTTAGTAATTACTAAGAACTAATATTGCCAAGTTAGTAGAAGCGTCACTAATTACATTTCACCTCCCACCTTTTTACTATTTACTATATCAGAGCCCAAATCAATACACAAATATGTTGTAATACCGATGTGAAGCAGAATTGGATTGATGTCAATTGTAACAACCAGAGTTCAATTTCGAAGGGCAGTTTCGGATATTTATTAAGAACTTAAATTAGAACTTGTTCATTCTTCCACCAAAAAAATATATCTATACCTAATTTCCATAGACTGGTTATAAATATTAAGTATGAATATTTGGTCTCTATTTATATGTTGAATGTTCTTAAAACGATTCATGCAATATGGAACATTGACAATCGCTGTTTATTTGTCATCCATGTAATCATTTGTAAGCGATGATAAATTATTGTCTCATTTGTAAACTTAGTAATCGGCGAACCACCACGCCTGCTAATTCTGAATATGATACGAGTAGTCTATATACTACATGTATACTTGTGACTCTGTAGGATGGTTAATTATACTTCGATTAACTAGTACAGTGTTGTAACCTAAAATGTATGGTTTACACTAATGGGTTTCAAGGTTATGGCAGTAGAGGTTATGGCAGTAACGGTTATGGCAGTAAAGGTTATGACAGTAAAGGTTATGACAAATTACAATTAATCGATCGCAAATGGCATACTCGACCTTCTAAGTAATTGCCAAATCATATCATAAGAAGTGAAGTGCAAAGGCATCATAATTTATTATCATAAATTCATAATATTAAGATTATGAGATTGGATCTAAACATATAAAAAGGCATGACATTTTGGCACATCTAGAATATTGTTTACTCCAAATATTAATATATATTTATTTAGTTACATTTATAAGACACTACGGAGAAATAAATATAAATATTATATTAAAAACATCTTGTATCAATCACCAAAATGAATCAATCAGATATTACTTTTACATCTGAACATACAGGAGTTTTGATCTGCAACAAAACTTTACCTTAGTGCAATTAACTTGATGCATTTTTCTTCAAAATTCAACAAGCAATTGGAGGGTTGGCCGAGTGGTCTAAGGCGGCAGACTTAAGATCTGTTGGACGGTTGTCCGCGCGAGTTCGAACCTCGCATCCTTCAAATTTTTTTGATTTTTTTTTGGTTCCTAAGAATTTATCTAATTTAAGCATAGTAGAGAGAAATTGGACCCTATTAACTAATAGGCTCCTCTTGTAACTTAGGTATATTTTTCCATATGGAAGTTTCAATCTATCTTATTTGTGACTTTTATTAGTATCATTATGCACAGTTATTTAATTATTTAGATTTATAAAGAAATTCATTAATATTAGATTCGTATTTAACGGAATAGTATTATCTTTATTCCTCAAATATATGGGTTTTGACTTCAGCATCCTTCTTGTTAGCATCTGTTTTTGAATCGCGATCACTACCTGATGATCCAGGCATAGTTACAGCGTTATTTAATTCATTGATAATTTCACCATTTTCATCAAACTCTAAATTATCAATCTTATTTAATAATGCCATTTGTTGGTCTTCTGTCAATTCTTTAGCCTTCTTATTCTTTATCCAGTACCCTGGGTTCAAATGTTTCATTTTCAATTCACGACAGAATGGTAGATGTCCTCTTTTTTCCTCAAAAATCATTAAACCTAATACAATGATTAGACATAGCCAATATAAATTGTATGCAAGGACAGAAGCCAAGTAGCCAGTATTTTGCCAACCCAGCAATGCGTTAAAAATATCCCAACCGTTATCTAACTCTGGATTACAACAATTGATATGGTAGACAGCTTGCCTAATATTATAAGAACCATTACCGTCACCAGATTCCGAAGCATCACCACCGGTGGCTTTGTTAAATCTGTAATTTTCGAAAAACCAAGCACCTCTAGAGAATAAACCAGCTGAGATTAAATATAGAATACCGGTTGAGATGACTAAAAACACTTGTAAAGAAGAACGTGAAGCACCGTAATATAATAGGAACCCTACTAAACCACCAGCAATCAATCCCACAAATACAGGTAATGGGTATGCACTTGCTTGCGAGCCCTGAGTAGTAATACCGGCACCAGCAACGAAAACGACAGCCTCTAAACCTTCTCTTAATACAGTAATAAAAGGTAACAAAAACATAGAATAACGTTTAGCAATAAAACTTAATTTAAAATAGTCTCTTTTTCTTTTTGGCACCTCTACTAATGATCTAGCAATCTTCACTCTCCATTTCTCTTGCATCTTGTTCATTCTTAACATTGGTATACCCATCATTGAAATCATAATGGTAGCAATCATACAAAATACACCTTCCCATAAATCTTCTGCAGAACCAAAAATATCCTTTTGATATTTATAATAAGCACCAATAAACCCACCTCCAATACCTAAACAGATAATAAACCCAGTGGCAGCACCAGTCCATACTTGTATAACTAATTTTTTATGCAGTTTTTTATCTTTGACACCAATGGATTGTTTCAAAAATGATAGAAGAACAGATAAGATCACTACAGCTTCCAGACATTCTCTGAACACGACAAAAAACACAGCAACGTTAAATACCTTATTACCCATTGTCGCTATAATTCTCAATTGGTCTCTTTATTCCATATGCAATAGTAACGCCATTGATGATAAGTAAAGCATAAATTCAAGATGTTTATATCGATTTAAGTTGATTAATAATTGCTCAATATTTATATATCTAAATATTTTTAATTTACAATGCAACAAGTATATCAAGTTCCTGGATCTCTGACTGTTCAATTCAATCAGGCAATACATTAATTAGTCTTCAAGATAAAGTACTACACCTTATTTAAGTCTCTTGAGATGCCTCATCTCAAAACTTTTTCACCTCCTCCGACCTGTGACGCCATTAGAGAGGTGTCATTGCCACTGGGAAGGGTGTCTCTCTAGACCTTCAGCCGGGTGCAAATTTGGTTCTGCCTAAAAAAACACCCCGTCCTCCAGTGGGGCGAAATGCAACACCAGATCTAGACAGAAAGACAGCCAAACAGGCAGCCAGAGAGACAAGACCTTTTCTTCAAGCATCAAGAGTGTCTATTGACACCAATAGAACGAGTTGAATTATTCTAGTATGCATGATTCGGTAGCTTTTTGCATGTGGTAGTCGATGAGACGATACAGTTCAAAGACAAGGAGAGAAAGAGAAACTGAACTGTCTCTGAATGTATAAAAATATCTATAAAAGTGGGCATGTTGGAATGCTATTGGGAAGGTGCTCTTCGTATTTTGGGGCATGCTTTCTATGGCAGCAGTTCATTAGAATGAAAAGATCATAAAAATAATTATTTAAGGGCGTATAGTTATTCTTAGGATTCGTGGGTGCAATTTCTACTTAGTAGTAAAATGATTTTTTAGAATAGAATGATTTAGTATAAATGTAATCTTATTTATTTTATCGTTATGGTAATGGTATATCGTAGTAAAAATATATACATATGATCTATATTGTTTACTCTTGGTCTTATCCTTGTCTATTGAGGCTAAAAGATAAGCGAACAAACTTTTTAATGTGGCTCTTTTGTTGCGATTAAATATTGTGTATGCAGATTAGGTTTTAATGACTGGCTATCATCATTATGGGTCTATTATGGTGCCATTGGTGATGAACGTTTCATCTATGCAAGTGGGTCGAAAAACCATTCGTAATTGGTTCCCTTAAAAACTCTCATCCCATATGTTCTGCCTTCGTTGTAATCGTCGTTCTTCATGCCAAGTCTTATTTCTATCCAATTTTTCATAACCCTTGGCTGTAGAATTGTCAAGTTTATCAATGTGTATGAGAACAACGAGTATAGCATCCCAATGAAAAGATCAAATCTATAGTGGTGGTCTAGATACATCGTAGACCACCATTGGATAGATATGAAAATGATTGCTAAAGTTTTTGGAACTAAACCAGCGTTGAAAATTGTAAAATACCATTTCTTGGATATCGTTATGTCTTCAACGTAATATTGTACAAAATTTTGACTGCTCTTGATTTCATTATTTTCAAAATCATCCTCAACAGCTGTTAAAATTGATGAATCTGTAGAAATTGAAGATGATGATTCTAAATCAATTGCCAAGAATGATTCTGTACTACTCATGTCATCGTGCCCCTCTTGGTCACTCTCGTATTCCTCGCGCATGCTGCTGATCGGAGTTGATGAAGGCGTTTCACCATTATATTGCTCTAACTCCATTTCTTCATCGTGTTCTTCCACATCTTCATTTCTTGTGATTCCTAGCATTCTCTTATGGACCGAGGTTGTAACAAATCTATGTTTCAATGAGGTCGATCTTAAGAGTAAAAATATGACACATTGGCAGGCCAAGGCTGAGTGAATTGATGGCACCGCACCAAACACTATTGGAGACTTATGAAAACCATCGGTACTCAAATGAGTTCCTAAATGATTATCAGTTCTTGTAAGGCCAGCTGCAAAACCTTCTTGGCTATAATTTACATGTTCTGTGTCGTTAATACCATATAAGTGTGTAAACCATGGTGGGGCCATTGGTAATAGTAAATGAGTTGTGACACCTAAAATGTTTTGTACACCAACGGCTATACCGAAACATTTCATTGTTCCTGGAGCATGGAACACATATAGATATATGGATGTTAATATTGGTGCAATTACGTGAATCAGCACATAGAATACCCACGATAATATATCCTTGAACTTAGTAAAGTTTTCCTCCTCTTGAATGGCACCTATGTGCACCAGATTTAAGACAATGAATGTCATCAATGGGATTCCAAAGGGGAAAATAAATGTCCTTTTAATTGTTGGGATGAATTTGAGTTCCAATGAGTGATGTAGATAATTATCATATCTTTCAAAGAAATTATAATCGATTTTTTTATGATGGTAGATATAATACCAAAGTAACAATGGTAATAGAACTAATAGAATTAGCATGAATGAAAATGAAGAAATGAATGAATATAGACGTAAAATGCTATGATTATTTAAATTTTGGTTTTTGAATTCATTCCAGTAATCACCAAATAGGAACAAATCTGAGTAAAATGCAATATGACTATGAATTTTTGGTCTTTTTTCAACTGGAATAAGGTCAGCGTGTTTGAATGCTTCCAACCATATTAAAATCAGAGCGAAGTTAATAAAGAAATTTATTGTCAAAGTAAATATATTCCTTCTATTAGTGGCAGAAGTATACAGACGTTTGAATATATTGAGTAACATATTCAAGTTTCCTATAGTTTTGTATTTGATATATTTTAGAAGTAATATTAACGAAATAGAAATTTCCCTTATATCAGCGTCATAAATTTTTCTTGTCGAGTATAATGAACGAAATAAAAGTATGGAATAATACGTATTATTTTCCACTTAATAGTTTCTGTCGAGTATTTATATGTATGTGTAGATGATACAAATTGTTGTTCTTGTTTATAGAGAATTGATCAAGAAAACCAATGTTATTTCTAGAGAGAAAGAATTTATCTAGGAGTAATATTAGGCCTATTTTGTAATGATCTAATTATTTATTTATATATATATATATAAAAATGTCAAGACTAACTAGGCATCACCAAAAATAAAATTAAAAAGTAATTCTATATAGTAGTAACCAGTAACTGAATCAAATCACATATATGGGAAAAGAAATGTAAAAAAAAAGAATAATAATAAAAATAGACTACAAACTGTAAAGCTATAAGCCAGTGAGGCTGGGACGGACTGATATTTAGCCCAAATCAAATCATACCACTAGAACAAACCAATAGGTTAGCTATGATATGACGAAGGTACGCTTTTAAGTAAAGTTATTCAATTCTCGAGAATAATATCAAATGTGTATAGTGCGAACGATAGCATGGTCAGTAGAGATTGGTGGGTATCGTCATATCCGTGGAAGGTTTCTATTCCATTCCATATAACTAAGGATTGGGTATAGAGCAGTAAAAAAGAAAGCTGGTGAAATTGAGTTGATAAGAAATGAACTATGGTGATAGTAAGTACTCGTAACACTAAAACCAAGACCCAAGACCCAAGAAATACGACAAACGAAGATAAAAAGCATGGATAAATTTTCCACCTTTTTCTCTGGAGACAAACCCGTGGAAATTTTTGACAAGCCCAAGTTTTGGAACACCAAAAAGCAAAGACTTGGATTAGTATAGCTATTTTATTAATCTCTTGGTATATAGTGAACGTCTTGTTTCAAAGAGAACAAGGCTGCGTTCTAACTGACGTCAGTAAGGATGCCGTAGGATAAGTTCTTCGAAACCGTACGTATTTGTTGGGGGTCGTTATAGGATACAATCAATGAAAGCAGTCTATGCCTCACTCACATATTGAAAAATAAAACTTAGCCAACAAGGCTAGAGGAATTATTTCCAAGTCGCATAACCACTTGGTATAGTAAATTGGAAGCTTAATAGCGAATATATCCACCAGTTAACCTTCTCCGGAAGGAAAAGAGATTACCACGCTTGTCGAAACGGTCCGTTCGTTGGATGGCAAGAAATAGTTATTTTGTTAGTTTTGATTTCTAGGGAGAGGGAGAGGGAGAGGGATATAGGCCTTAACCGCTATCCAAACGGAAGGAGTTAATAAGCCATATGATATTAATATTGCCACATCATAAAATTTGGGAAGAGAAAAGCATTGGGTTTCCCATTCGAAGCTAGCCTACAACGTTGCGAAAAATAGCTAGAATCAGTGGAAACATCTAAAAAATATAGGCTGTAGCTGCAAACTGAAAAAAGCTGTGGATATATTCTTGGATCAGATAGAGAGAAGGCTAGAGGTATAAGGTAAATGTAGTAATCAATCTGCCTGTGATCGTATGGCGAGTTGTTCCACGGTAAGGGTACGGCAATTGTTCCATTTCAACTGAAGATAACCCAAATCCATTTTTATTTACACTGACACGAAAAGCGACGCAGTAGTTCTTAAACTTGTACATCTGAGCTCTTTCTCTGCAACATTCTTGTGGCCGCACTAAACCGGAAAAACTTTGTATATGTTTTTGTGCTTGCTAAGACAGTAGAGCAGTTTGAAGAGGTAAAAGAGACACTCTGGGCCACATACATATTATATTATATTATATTGCTGATTAGTGTGTTTGTTGGCACAGGGAAGGAAGGCTTGGTAAGAAGAAGTAACGGTGGTGGTGGTGGTGGTGCCTCTGTGAGTGTCGTCGCTGTTGCTGATGTTGTCGAGAAATATCCGGAATAGGGCCCTTCCCTTCCCTTTCCTCAACTGTGCTTTGGGATGGGAGGCCCCGCAGTGCGAGTGTTCCCAGCACTAAACTATTCAGAAACAACTAACAGGAAACAGAAAACAGAAAATGCTTTCTTTTTGAAATTGGGTTTCGAGAGCAGGGCAGAGCAGGGCAGGGCAGAGCATTGCGCAATTCGTTTCTTTTGTGATCCGGTAGAGGAATTTTTCTTGGCCTCGCGTTTCTTTTTTCCCTTGCTGTGAGCTTACGTTTTTTTCTTAGGGAGGCTTAAAAAAATCGGATATCAATTCCAATTTGCTATTGTTGCAGTCGGTACCACGACTTTACTCTGCCACTATGTTCTATTGTTTCCAGCTCTCCCAAAAAGAAATTGTGCGAAAATACATATCCCGGTTTATTTTTATTTATTTTTATTTATTTTTTAGCTTTAGGTTCAACTGGTTAGACCTGAAGTCCTCATTCACGTGATCGAGTCAGAATAGCATTGGAAAAGGAGAGAGAATGGGACAGCTCTCTCTCACAGATCAACTAACGTAAACTAAACTGGATTACGGTAGAGAGCATGTATATTTTAATGCATACTAATACTAATATTATGCTGGTCTGGTCTGATGCTGTACTCGTTTCTGCTCACTAACATATCGTGCATTATGGATCGTTCTCCTGATGTCAAATTGCCCTGAGCAATACTAAACGGCTTCTTAAGCAGATAATTAATCTTGCCGGTACAATTAACCGTATACACATAAAAGCCATCTTTCCTGCCTCTATGTTTTTCCTTTTCTTTACCTAAACCAGAGCTATCTCCATTTCCATTTCCATTTCCATCTCAAATTATCCATTTTGTAATATTATATTTAATATTTCTACACAAACAATACACCAGGAAAATCATAAATAGGCACTCCAATATTTTTCATTTTTTGAAAAGTATAACACGCACGCACTCCTCAATTCAGATAACCAAATATCTTCTCGTGTGATGTGAGCAAAAGGGTTCTGTTGTATATCGGTAAGCACCTGATTGGGATAAATGGAACCTGATACACATAACTCATAAGATAAAATTGAGGTACACATAATATACAATTATAAAATAAGAAGGATATAGAATCAGCTGTAATCTGTAATTCTATTCTATTAGAGATGCTTATTAATATCAGTTTGGGGTGAGAAGTATCGAGTAATCATATCAGTCTTCTAGACAAGAGTTTGAGTGTAGAATAATACTTGTGTCACTGAAGAAGAATACCGTTCTATATTAAGCTATCCGATCACTAAATGTACATTTACAAGTAAGGTAATGTATCAACTAATGTAATCGCATTAACTAGTAAAATATCGATTAATTAATTATTATACTATAAATAACTAACAACAATTTACCTGACAAACTCGCAAATATAATGTTACTACACCATTATTCTTTAAATAATGTCACCGAAACCTTAATTATCCCACCTTTTAGTATTTTACCATAGCTGACCTTTTATTGTCACACTAGGAAATTTTTTAGTTTTCTGATCTTAGAGAAACAAAAACCTTGGTGTCAATAGTTTTTCGACTAACAATGCATTACCTTAAATTTACTACTCAATATACTCTCATTCTTCTTCTCTTTATCCCTTGAAAATATTTTGAATACAAGTTTGTTATGTTTTATATTTAGTTCGGGAATTTATTCGTTCATTGTAGAAGTAGTAACAGGATATATCAAAACAGCGATGAAAATATAAATAAAAAAAAAATTATATCAAAAATAAATATTAATAATTTACATTTTCATCATTATATAATGATCCAAATCGTTCTAAATGCAAATTTACCACATATTTATACTTCAAATGCCCCTAAAACGTTTCACGTCATATTAACCAGCAGTAAGTAATTTCCTGCTATTATATTTGTAAGATAAGCAACAAACAAGCTACAAAAATAACAAAATTTGGAATAAGAGATGCTGAAGATATTAGAGAGTACACGTGCCCATACAAGACTGAGAGATTATTAAGAACTATTTCAGCCTATGGTGTATTTAATTTTGTCTGACACATCTTCGTTCATGCGATGACATTACTTCCTGTCATTTTTGCAATGTCACAGACCACTGAAGTATTTTCAACATTGATTTTAATACAACATTAAATATTTACATAAAGAATTAAATTAGATACTCTACACGTTTAATGACAATTTTGTATGTCTTCAGAGGGACGACGGTACGGTATATAAGAAACCTAAAGCTATCCACAAACTCTTTCGACCGTGATTTTATCTATATTCAAAGACATTTCAAGAGTTAAAAGGCAATTATATAATATTAGTAGGAACCTATCCTATATCAGACGTAGCATACGAAGCTAAAAGGTACACTACAATTGATCTTTATTTAATCACTTATGTATTGTCAGGGACGCTCCCACCACTAACGACATTATTCATCACTATATACGCCAATATAAAAAAACACTAGCCAGAAACATAAATACAAAAAAAGTTACCCTCCCTGTAGCTTCAGTATGAATTCTTTGAAACTCCAAAATTATTATTCTTAGCGTAATTCTAATTTTTACTCGGTGTTTTCTGGGTAATAAACCCACCTTGAAAACAGCTTCTCACATTCCATTTGATAAACATATTAAATATGAGATGATGAATACGCTAAGAAGAGGGTTGTCATCCAACATCTACTTCTCATTTTTCCCTCCAAAAGCAAAACACACGTAGACACCCTACAGAAGTTACCTCTATAACCCTTTTATTCCAAAGGATAAGAAAACAAAAGCCAGCCAAGCAAGCAAACCTTTGATCTGGCAGAAAAAAAAAAGAACAAATTTGTATTACAGTGCTAAAAAGTTTTTCACATCGGTTTAAATAAATCTACATTCCACCAGAAAGAACAACTGTTGTTCACATACATTTCAGATTTAAACAACCAATTGTCTGCAAAACGAGCCTAAAATCCAGCAATTTGTTGTCCGTTCCCATTTACAAACATTCTTATAGCTACTTCATCAATAACTACAACCAGACGTCCTCACTCAATCAACCATTCCAACGAGTTGCTAGCCTAACATTCCCCAGATCATCAGTAGATACCTCCAGATAACAAGAAATGACAAGCATAGTCCAACCGCCTGAATTGATAGCCACATCAGTAGACGAACAAGTGCAATACAAAATTGAACTGCTCTTGCACGTGAACAGCATCCTACTCTCCAGATTGCTATCATTGACTAACAATAGTTCCATCACGATCAACAGTTTACCAGAGAACCTACAGAACATATCGTCGCAGTACCTGAAGCGAATCCATTCCAATTTACAGTGCATCTCACAGATGAACCAGGGCCTGCTGAACTCGAAACCCTTGATTCTGGACCCTCCCCAGCAACTGTCCACCCCTAACGATTCCTCAAATGTAAATCCGCAACAGGACCTACTGGCCAAGTTCTATCTGCTGCTCAATAGAGTATTCGAAATATGGCAGTGAGTGGGAGGGGGGGGGATCTAACTGAGGCAGATAAGTGTATAACAGTGTACAACATACTCTACACCACACTGTACTATTCTGTACTCCTCCCCTCATCCAATCCAATTGGAAATAGCCGCCTAATTCCTCTATGGAGCAGGCAAACAATATAGTCACACCCGTTCCCAGAACGAACGTACGGATTACCCCACATTTTCCCTTCTTGCTTGTTTGTTTGTGGCTGTCGTCGTGCCCATCCATTTGCGTTTGAGCGGCTATCTGCCGTACCACAGTTGACACGTGCCTATGCCAATATACATGCATTGGTATTGGTATTGGCTTTACATTTTAAGGGATAGATTTTGGGAAACGTATAAAAGGGCAACGTTATTTCCCATTTCCATTCGATTCTACCTTGCACTTTTTCGTCTTCTCAAATTATTTTTATTTTTTGACTTTGTCAAGTTTTTCGTTTACTTGTTATTATCAAGTCACGTTTATATCACATGCTTTGGCGGAGTCCTTTCTTCTCCTAGTCTTGACGTATTTTAACTACTTACAAGATTTGTATATTCGGAATCGCTACCCTTAATATGAGGTAACGATCACTATCTATTTAATTATTTAAAAGGTTTGTATCATTATTATTATTATTTTATCATTATCATAAGAATTTCTTAATCCCCCAATACCGCCTCCTCCCTATCCCCCAGCCCCTTATTAACTACCAACCCGTCTCCCCCTTCAAGCTATTTTTCACTATTCACTGCAAAAACTAACAAACTGAAGGACAGATAGGATA